TTTTTTTTTTTTTTGTAATTTTATTTACAATCTGTTCATCAATGGGAACATTGAGTAAATTTAAGATCGCGGTTGACATTAGGTAGGTAATTTTTCCCGGTGGATAGTTACCATTATGATAGATTAAAGGTGAAGGTCCATACGCTGAACCTCATTCATTTCACTATCCATTTGTGATGAACGATGGCCCTATTGCTGCAAGCACCGAGAGGGCTCACAAAGGGCCTGACATGACCAGGATTTGAACCTGTGACCACTGGCACGTGGGTAGGGAAAATTAACCATTTGGCGTCCTCAGTTTCTCATTTAATCTAAAAATTGAAATTAATGTGTGTATTCTGATATCTATTACCAATAAGCAATAATACTATTAAATTTAAGATAAAAGGAACATTTTTAATCAAGTTTATTGAACCAAACCAATTATTACAAACGAATTCCAAATTTTCCATAAACCCATCAAAACCTATTTATATATGAAATAAGAGTATGTAATGAAAGTTTAAATTTAATAATTTTATTATAATAATTAAAAAACATTTTCCGTTTTTTTCTCTTCCCGGGAAACGGGAAATTTAAAATTTTACTCTTTTGAGTCACTGAATAAACAATTTAATCTGAACAATTGTCCTTTAAAAAATTTCAAACAGATTACATATTTTTCAATGAATAAATTGCTAATTATTTATAAAAGATTTTAAAATATAGGATAACTTCTTTATAATATAATAATTAGAAAATTTTTAACGGATTTTTTTTTGTTCCCGGGAAAAGAGAAATTTAAAATTATTCTCTGGAGAACCTCAGATAAAAAATGTAATTTGAAAGATCTGTATAATCCTTTAAAATATTTAAAACCACATTTGCTAATCATTAAATTGTTAGTTATTTATAGATGCTCATTATAGTAAAGAATATCTAAAAAAAATATTTCGTTTGTAGTAACATATATAGCGAGCTATGAGTTTAACAGAAATATTATAATTTTGTTCAGGTGTTTTTTTTTAGTAAATTGAAAATATAAACCTTTAAAATTCCCGGGAATTTCTAGACGGGAAATCTTCTAATATTTACTAAAATTATTTACAAATATTTGGTTTCTAATTTAATATTGGAAAGTCACTCATACAATTATTGCATTTATCTATGTTATAAAAAAATAATTTACAACTGAATTTAATACCTTCATTTTATATTTTGTTGCAGATAAATATGAAATTTATTATGAAAATAATTACGAAAATAATAAACTGCTTATTAAAATTATTTATATATGTAATGTAATGATGTGCTAAATACAACTAAGTTAATTTATATTACAGATCAATATTTCAGATTGAAACTAACAGGTATCATCTAACTTTACACATTTTTTGTTACAAAAATATCACATTGAAACTAACATCAACAAAATTGATTAATATTATTTGTAGAATAGATTGTATTTTTGTTGTCTTTAATATAACTATTTCAAATAATAAAAATCTTCATTGCAACATTAAATGTCAAAATAAAACCTTTTCATACACTTTTTATAATCATAAAACAAAAAGTTAACTGCTGCAAAGAGCTATTGACCACAGGTCTTTCTATCCCAATTTAATTTTTTTAATTACCCGATCCTAGCCCAACTCCTCGAAAACATTGACATACAATTCTTACCTCCTTTCTCAATAACCTAAAACAGTCCCCTTTTCGTTCTCGTGCAGTGTTATAATGTGTTCCGCGAATTCAAGTGCAACAGCATTCTTCCCGTGTTAGTCTTAAGTTACTATTATGTCATGTTTTCTATATAACCCGTGTATTTTATCAATCTATTTGTCCTTATGTTAAGTATCCTTAAGTATTCTTATCATTATTGTCTTATTATTGTTTTCCCATTAGATGTATAGGTGTATAAGTCAACAAACAAACTAAATATTAGACTCCTTGGATTTAAGCGAAAGACTGATCTATTTAGTATTTATATTATAATGTTTAATTTAATTAAAATCAAAGTAAAACTTGTATAAAGTCAAGTTTTCCACATTTAATTAATAGACATGCCATAGATTAGATTTAAAGCTTTCATCGCCATAATATAAACATAATGCATGCAAGTCGTTGGAATTAACGTTACACGAAAAGACCATCATAGATCCCCGATTATGTCGGTCTTTAATAACAGCCAAGCGCATACACGATTGCAGCAATTTCGGCTCCAATTTCCAATATAATAGCATTTTGTTAGTGCATGTTGCATCTCCACCGTCCGGAGATTACGATCTTAATTCGACGAGATTTACTTTATACTATTTTTCAATTTGCCCAAAAACCGGGCCGGACTTAACTTGTCTTCGTAAACATTGCGAAAATATTACCCAAAAAAAAAACACCATATACATTTCGGAACGCAATATTGCAGTCGCCCAATTAAACTGCAGCGTTGAAAAATGCAAATTGAACTTTATTTGCAGGAGGCGCCGGCCGCACGAAAGAAAATCCTTCGTAGACTTTTTATTTTTCTTCCTCGTTTACTCAACTTTTCCGCGGCGCGAATTATAAATTTAGATTGTTACAAATTATTTTAGGAAGAGCCGTCACGGAATTTAATATTTTAATTTCCCGTTGAACTGGAACAACAACAAACTAGAAAAAAAAAAAGAAATATATAATACAAATGAAATGAAAATTAGACGTTATAACTCATTTTACTCTTCCATATTTATTATTCGGTATGGTAAACAATGTTTCTGCTTTTGCATGTTTGTTTTTCGTATGATATTCTTCTTGTTCTCCCGCTGTATTTATTTATTAATTTGAACGCACAACTGTGAAATGCTCTTCCGACCGGTGCACATTTCAACAGTATTGACACGTGCGCATTGTGCAACGGTAAATCGCTCTATTTACTTTTATTATTACGTATTTGTACAAACAGGCAACCGAAACTGCAGGGCGCGGGCTGCAGGATCGCTACGTTACGTAACGTAACGACGCGCATAAACGTAAAAGCGGCGATGGATGCGCCTTTATGTGTCCTTTGTTCCTGCATCGCCGATGGTTCCAATGTTTATGATTGCAGAGGTGGAGTGTGTAGTAGGATGCTCGAAGCACATATAAGATTTTAAAAACGCTGTAAAATGCAAATGTAATGTACATGTAAATGCGACCGGAACTCGTCTCTGGTCTCGGTGCACTTAAACTTTCATACATGCTTATATTTAAACGAATTGCGCACTATTCAATATAACCGGCGAAGAATGAAAGACAACTTTATTTTCTTTGTATTTTTTTTGTGGTGCCGTATGGAAAATAATACGCGACCAGGAAAATCCATCAAACTATCGTATCGTATGCATTCTCGAACGCATTTTCAAGGAAACAATATTATTATGTGTCAGGTAATGTAAATTTATGTGTTTATTTTCTTTACTAACAATAACGTTCACATAAATATTGTATGAATATGAGTATTTCATTCAGAATTTATTATTCTTTTATTAACGATTAAATTACATTCTTAACATATAACTTCCGATTTATTATATATATTATTTAAAAAATACAAAGATATTTTAGCAGGAGTATTTTTATTGCATTGATCAAATGCAGTTAATTAACTGTCAACTATAGTAAAAATTGAACAAAATTTGCTGTTGGTATAATCAAATGTGAATTTTGTTCCACTGCATAACTTCTTAAAGATTGTTCGAAAGCAGAAAGTTTTTATTATAAGATAATGTAATAACAACACTTTTTGCAACATCTAAAAGTTAATGACAAAACTACAATAATTTTGTAAAAAAAATAAACTTTATGTTTTATGATTCAAGCTGATAATTTATTTATCCTCAAGTATTCATTTTTGTTCGGGAACTGAATTTTTCATAATTCAATGTTGCACTATATAAGAAAATTGTTGTTTTAATTGTAATACAGATTTTTCTTAATTATTTTAACCTTAATATACAATAACAAAATTCATTGATAAAACAAAACTGTTTAACATATTTATTGGCCATACTTAATAATTAATAATAATAATACTTATTGCAACAATATAAAGAACAAAATATTTTTTTTATACAATAATAATAAAATAAAAAAATAACTGCTGCAAAGCACTATTGACCATATGCTTTTCTGTTCTTCGAAACTATTTTACCAGCAAGTAACAACAATATTTACAGTTGATATCTAAAGAAGAGTGAATATAAAAGAATCTTTTCTATTTATTTTTAGGTTAAAAATATAAAGTAACTAAAAGATTCCTCATCTAAATTGTTAAATAATTTAACGATTAAATAAGCAGTCGTATTAAAATTACCAAAATAAATTTCGTCTAGTTTTAATTATTGATACAAAATTGTAATTAACCAGTATTAAATTTAATTAGATGAAACTTCAGCTTTCATTCATTGCAATGACGTATATATGTAAATATCCTCCACAAAATGTAATATCATACATCTAATTTTGTCATTCATTTTTAATAAATCTAATCATTTTAATTTCTTGCCAAATTTAGTTATATTTTTTATATAAAAGATGAAAAATTATGTTATATTTAATAAAATTAAGTATTTTAAAAATTTATAATCGGATATACACGATTTGAGGGCTAAACGATGAAGCGTTAATAGAGCTCTTATAGTAACATTATCATATAGCAAATAGGAAAATGTATTACATTTTTAGTCTTTAAGCAGAGCAAGTTATATTGAATCAACGTTAATGGAGCGTTAAACGAGGTTTTACTCTATACGTTTTAATATTATTGTATATGAAAGAACTTAGTAATAAATAAAAGCTTAATATATCATCTATAGACATTTAATACATTTAGCAAAATACATATTATTTGAAAGCGGGAGGGTAACACAATATATAAAAATGAATCGCAGTGGAGATAAATCAGAAAACAATATTATTAAATTTTGCTGAGATTCGAATCATTTTTCATCGCTTCCTACCTATATATTGTCTACTCTTTTCTTCGTCCTTGTCTTCTTCTACTTCTCCTGTTTTATTCTTCTTAGTATGCTATTCAGAGGTGTAGAAAATGATGGGAAATAAAAATGTCGACGGCGCAAGAATGCAAACTTTTCATTTCACCCAACCCGCACAGATTCATTTCAGACAATTCAATATCGCGTATATTCGTTTTGCGGCTGATCCTGAAATTGCTTCGTCCATTATTTACAACTTTTATTTCTGTTTATTGGCACGTAGACATAATACATTTTCAAAATATATGTAAACAATTTACAATAAAATATAGTATAAATGTAGTAATAATTCGCAATCGATGCTCCTCAAGCACAACATCTATGGATCTTGTGATTCACACACGATTACTGTCTCGATTAAAGTGAATATTATCCTGAAAAAGCGTTCTAAAGTTGTGTTATTTCCTTAGTTTTGTTTCCGTTCCTTAAGATTTTGGGCGATTGTCTCAATTAACCGGTGACGTAATTACGAAGAATTGACTGTATATAATATATATAATCATAACAATAAATAAAAATCTCTTACAAAAGTTTGTTTTACTCAAAATATGGGAATTTCTATTTAGTGCAGGTAATTCTAGAAACAACGCTGTAAAAGCAATCCAAATGCCAATTGTATTCAAGTAATCGTTATTTTTTTTGGAGTAATTGCTGGTGGTTTATAAATAGGAAAAGCGCAAAGTATTTGCGAAATGTTATCTAAACGACGAAACCGTATTCAGATGGGAACGTCGATTCTGGGAATTCCGCAGGAAAATGTGCGTGCTCTGAACAATTGAAGCAAAGCCCCGAGGGAAAAGGCAATAATGAAATCATATTCATGTGATCACCAATAAATGTACATTTTAAATTTTAATTATGGCGCATCGATTGCAACCAAAGATAGAGAGAGAATTATCCTGAGAATTATGTCCGCTCCGCACCGAACGAGCTTTGAATGTATGAGGATATAAAAAAAGGAGTAATAATAAAGTGGAACGTTGATTTCTGTTTATCCTGGCTGTATATGTGTATTACCTGAGCCTCCGCGTTTGCAGCCGAAACCGGAAGTTTAATTACGGCCTTAATTACATTTCCAACCGCACTCCTGCTCCTAGAGACGGAGATTATAGTTTAGGTTCAATAATGTCATAATAATTTCTAGAGGCGACGTTGCACGTTTATATGAGCAATTAAATATCCTCCTCAGATTAATTCATTCCTCCAGACAAAAAAAATAAAGCACAGAAAAAAATGAGAGAAAATGAATCTATAAATAGTTCTAAATTTAATCAAATCGCAATGCGGCACACAAAACACATTACATTACAGAATGCAATCATCTTAAAACTTAACGTTTCGTGCAATATGGCCATTGTTTGGTTTTCGCCTCCGAAAAGCTTGTAAATCAATTCGTAATGGGTTTCGGATTCACTTAGTTATGCTGCTGCACACGGTGAGTCCACTGTTACACAATAGTTTGCTAAACATCGGCGATAAATAACCTCCGTCGAAATATTTGGAGGCGGCGGTGGTGGTGGCGTCGCGACGCTCATTAATATCGCCCGTTAGTTTTCGATGGCCGGACGACTCAATTAAAGCAATTTGCAGAGCAATTAACGCCGGACGCTCGTGAATCGTTCAACAATCATCGTTGCGCATTTACGCAATTTGCGAGCGTACTACAATTGTAGAGACAAAAAGTGTTAGTTCAATACCCAATATCCCATAAAATCGAGACAAAAGCAAAACCCCTATACCGGCCCTCTGGAAACCCATTATATAAACTTTTCTCATTCAAAGTTTCACCAAAGCTCCCAGGGCCAATAAACTATAAATACGATGAATCGTTTATTTATTGCTAATATCGTGCTTAAATATTAATTGATTCCTTCAAAATCATAGCCATCCATAGCCTATTAATCGAATAATGTATAAAACTCGTTAAAGACTGATACTCTGTACGTGATACTTGCATAAAACTACTCAGTTATTACACATTTAATTACCGCAATAGCCAAGTTTCTTAGTAATAAACATATTTTATAATCTATCCAAAATTAATTACTTTATGTAACGGAAAACAACAAAAAAAATATTCGGATAAAAATAATTTTGTAATTAATAAATATGTTCAGTAAATAAGAAATCAACAAAAATAAAATACTGCTATTATATGAAGTGTGTATGCCAAAAAATAATATTAAATATAAGTGTATCTTAAATTTGTTTGTAGTTTCGGTAGCAATCGAAATCTCGACAATCGAAATCCAGACAACCATAATTATTATTTGATATAGACCTATTCATAATAAATTTTAAGAAATAATCTAAAATACAAGTTGATTATGAATTGTTATTTATTATTAATAACAGTAAATAATTATAATAATTATTATTTATTATTTTCGTAGAGTTATTCATTACAAAACTTAACAATAAGAAATATTCTATAATCAAATTAGATTATTAATTGTTATTATTTATTACTAATAAGAATAAATTAATTTAAATTTAGAATATTACTTAATTTTAAGTTTTATCATGAATAAGTCTCTATCAAATAATAAAAGATACTGTTGTGATTGTGATCGTTGGGATTTTGATACTATCGGGATTTCGAATGTCGGGAATATGATTGTCGGGATTTCAATATAGACCCTTGTAGTTTATATTGTGACCGAATTGCGAATAGTGTTTATACACCCTCATGGTGACAGATGTCATATATCGATCCAACATATTTGTTTTTTTTGTAACTTTTTGTAATAATATAAAACACAATATTTGGAAATTATTTACTATCTAAAAATGTACTTTTTTTTATTGTTATTTTATTTATTGTCATTTAGTAATTATTAAAATGTATCATCAAAATCATTATTAAATAAGATATGATTTTGATGATTAAAATTTGACAGCAAAAGCGAATAAAGAAGTCAAGCAGAAGTATTCTCAGACCACTTTTCTACTGTTTTCCAACAATTTCCAAGGAAACTCGTAAAGAAAAACGAAGTATATATAATTCGATTTTCGCAATGACCGTTCTTCTCGATCGATCAATAAATGAAATTATCTGAAAACAATGTGTAGTTGCTATTACTATATTAAATTTGTGCATTTATATGTCATTTAAATTAATGTTTGAGTACATAAATAATATTTTGTTTAATATTTTATATGCATGAATTGTCCTAGAATGAAGCAATTAGGATTTTTTAATTATGTAAATTTTGCAATAAAAAAAATACATACATACCATCATATAATTGATGTTTTGATTTTTGTTGTAAAATATCCAGATTTATTAAACTTCACTATAGTCCAATGCAGGTATAATCTATACAAACTAATAAATTTATGCAGATTATGAAATATTCCGACAAAATATTAAAAAAAAATAATACTATGCA